TGAGTCACCATATCTGGGCTTAGCCCTCTCAATCATAATTCCCTAAAGATTGTGATTCTGAGACCATATCTGAAGGTATTCAGTAGAGAATGAGTGACTCAGACACCGGTAGGGTAGCTGGCTGGCTCTCCTTTCTCCTTTCTACACAAGAGACCCAATGGCTGCTCACTCTCTCTGTCCCTAGCTATGTCCCTGAAGCTGTAAGCCTACTTCTTCTTTCTTGTTCTTGCTGGGATGATATAAAAGACTTACTGTTATGAGCATTTTCCACCAGCCTTAGCACATTCTGGCCACTGGACTTCCTGACGCTCCTCGTAAGGCCTCGAACCACTCCAGAATCTGCCTTCAGTGTTAGTACCCCCGACCCTTCCACGTAACAAGTTTGGCATAACCACCTGCACTCAGTAGAGTGCAGCCTGTGCAGCCACACAGAGGGTTCAGTCCTCCTCAGTTCCACCACTACCTGCCTCCTGAGACCACCATTCGTAATTGTTCTATCAGTGTTTCCTCTTTAAGGAGTAATCCTATCTCACCAGCTAACTTCTGTCTTGGAGTCTGTGTCTATGAGGTTAAAAACTGCTTGCATTTGAAAGGCACTTTTATAAAGTCTACAGTAAACACCTCTCCTTACCCAGTCTTCTCTGAACTTCACAGATGCTCAGATGGAGTGCCTTTCTCTAAAGAGCCTCATCATTTCCACTTCCTGGTCAACTCTTCCTTTGTTGTTGGGACCTGGGGCCAGCCTGAAGGATCCCTCCTCACAGCCTCAACCTTCAAAAAAATAGAACTACCAGCAGGCTGGGCAAGGATTCATCGGGTATTCCGATATTGTTGCAAGATGTCTATTTCCAAAGTATCTTGTCTTGATTCTGGCATGGAGATCTGTTTCAGACTCTAAGTCCACAGGGCTAAGAGGCTAGAAAGTGTCCTCACATTCCATTTCCATATATCCTTCCATTTCCCTCATTTTCACTCCGAGTTCTTAGTCATGCTTCTAACCTTGCGCACACATTTTTCTATACAGGCTTTTCATAAAGGATTATTCTCCCAATCTATCAGTTATTTACTTCCTTCACCCACAGGCAAATTTTCGTCAGGCCCAGGACCATAGTGACTCCTTGCTCCTTGGTGTCCAGCTTCCTCCCCCAGCAATGAGGCTAGCAAACTCCTCCCTCCCTCTGCCTGGCTCCACAGACCAGTTTCATGGTTCTTCTATGAGCAAGCAAGAGAATATGCTGAGATGAGCATTTAATGCATAGTGCACGTTTACAACTCAGAGGCTAATGCAGTTGTTTATGCACAAAGATTATTTTCTAGGTGTTCTGGGAATGTTTTGTTACTGTACATTGATTACCTACTATGTGCCAGACATTATGCATATTTTATCTCATTTAATCCCACAACAACCCTACAAAAAAAGGTTACCCCCATCTTACAACTGAGAAAACCAATGCCCAAGATAGTGAGGACATGGGGCTTATTTTGGATTCAGAGCTTTACTGTGCCTTCACACTCAACAAATGCTACTTTTCTAGGACCTTTTTCAAATCTTCATTGTGCTTCCAAGTCAACAACTCAGGTAAAAAGAATGTGAAATCAAACAGCCTCCGACATCAGCGCAGGATCTAAATCCTTCCTGGAACTAAGAAGGAAAACCACAGTAGAAGAGTAAACTCTTTCAGGTGTGTTACTTATAGCTACCCAGCCTGTCTCAACCTCACATTAGGGCCCAGAGAAGTAGTCACCTGCCCCTAGGGCAGGAGGGCCCACCCTGGGGCCCCGTCTCTAGTCCCCAAATGCTGAACTTCTTTTCTGGGTAGAGGGATTCTCTGTACCTTTCCTCTCCACACCCAAAGCACCCTGGGAAGAGGAGTGAGGATCAGGAAATGAAGATGGAAAACCCAAGATAATCTTCCCCCCTTTAGGGGATTATATAAAGCAGTTGTTAGCAGGCAGCTCAAAGGAAGCCCCAAAGGTAGCTGGGAGAGATGGAGATGAGAACTGAAGTAAGGAAAGGGTGCCCAAAGAAACACACTCTCTCACAGAGAGGAGGAAATGCCAGGGCACAGAGATGCAAGTAGATGATCTGATTTCTGAGAGGCTTCTAGGCTGCTGTGTCCTGCCCCTGAAGAGTCAGGGTCAAACAACCTCCCCAATCCTGGGACATGTTCCCTCTGCCAGACGAAAGCTAAGATCTAATGGTTACAGTCCTAGCATTCCGCAGCAGCTGCCAAATGCTAGGCTGGTCCTTGGGGCTCGCTCGCCCAGGCAGTCTCTCAAGTCCATCTCAGCTTTGTAACTATGCCAGAGGTACACCCATTACATGCAGTGTAGCCTGGACAGTGGCCTCCAGGCTTTCAGCCTTCGAAATGGACCAACTAAAAACATTTTTTTGGAGACAGACACTAGTTACCATCTTGTATTTTACTAAGTAAAGACGTCAAAAAAATAGATCTGTTATCTAACAATACCTTCACTTCATAAAACACATTTTCAACATCTAGAAGTAGAAAGGAGATAACCTTAGAACAAAGTACTACTCGAAGTCAAAGAAAGGTAGCTTTATGGAAAAACAAAAACAATCTCCATTGTCCCCTTTTGGTTGTTTATCCAGAAACTGGAAAAACTCCACTGAGGGCCAGCAATGATCTTCAGACCAGTGTGGGGCCCCTCTGTGCTGGGACACTATGAGCGCTCCAGCTACACCTTACCTGACCCTGGGGGCCTAGAGTAACAGCTGGCCACCGCAAGGTCCTCAGGGACACAGACGTCTCTCAGCAGGGTTGTCTCTAAGCCTCAGCCAACCCAGATCCACGGCATCTTAACCAAGACCACCCGGCAGCCTGGGCTAGCAGCTTACACACAAGGATGACAAGGCCCTGGCCTCCCTCCCAGCCCCTTTCACTCAGGTATGCCCCGTTGTTGCCAAAAGAAGTGCTTAAACATGGTTCATATAGCCCACTGGATCCAAGAACGTCTAGCCCAGAAAGCTCAGCCTCCTCATCCCTCACGTTTAATTACGGGAGGAACTGAATGAGGAGGAAGGGGAAGGAAAGGAACACAAGAAGGAAGGAGGTAATGAAACCAAGTTTCATAAAGTAGATCGGGTAGGTCCTCCTGACACCAAAATCCCAAATCTTATGCCCAAAAGTAAAGCCTACCGCTGGTCCCACCTCCCTTTCGGCAGTGACCCACAGGGTACTGGGCCAGGAGGATGCTAACTCCTCCAAGACCAGCAACACAAAGAGGCTGGACACCATCTCCCAGGCTGGATAGGGAGCTGCACATGTGATCCAGATGTCTGCTTTAACCACACACAGGGAGAACAGGGCACCAAGTCTGCAAGCCTGGGTCATGACATACAGCTTCCACAGGGAGTGGACAAGAAGAGGTGAGAAGGGGCGGAAACATCTGGCAACCCCCCTTCCCAGCCTCCCACACTTGGATCTTTCTCCGAAGCCACGGGACCACAACCCCACCAGCTCACAGCACCGCTCTGCACTCAGAGGTCAGGGAAACCCCTGAGCACAAGCCGCCAGCCCATCGCAGCCACAGGTGCCCTAGTTCTCAGAAGCACAGCAACTCCTGGCTCTGTTGGAAGGGGCTTTGAAATCCATCAAGCACAACTACTCCATTTCCCCAAGGAGAAGACAGACCCAGAGAGGGGGCCCGAGTTGCCTGGAACTTGGACAAATGAGTGACAGAGCCAGAGGAGCCCCAGCAGACAGCGTGGGCCTCCGTCTCTGTCCAGCGCCAACTCCGCTGCCTGGAGCGACCTCAGCCGCTACACTACTCTAAGCTGTCCAACTCCGCTCGTCCCTACTTCTGCCAACTCTCCGCTGTCGCGGCTGCCACCAACCCCAAGCCGGCAGTCCACCACCAGAACGGAAGGGAAAGATGATCGATGCAGGGTCACTGCCTCTCTCTTTTCCTCCCACCCCAACTCCGGCTGCTCTCATCCCAATTCCTCTTTCCCTCCTCTACCGCGCTACCCCCAGATAAAGGGAGTACACCTCCCTGAGATGGACCGTGTCTCAGAAGCACATCATTCATTCATGCATTAGTATCTGAGTGCCTACTACCTGCCAAGAAACTGTGCCAGATGCCGGGAACACAGAGATAAAGTCTCTGACCTCAAAAAGTACTCAGAACTCTAGGTGAACCCAAGTTATGGGTTTCTCATAAGTTCCAGGTTTCAACTGACTATCTGAGAAAAAAAGATGGCACTCAAGAAAATGTTTAGGAAAGAAATACCCCACCCCATCAGGGCAGCAAAAACCACTTTGTCACTCCAGAGCTTCCTCCCCGAATCCATCAGCCTCTATCCCTTATCTGACACCATCATTGCCCAAGTCACCCAAGCATTAGTGTGACCTTGAAATACAACATCGAGCTAGGCTCGGTGGCTCAGCCTGTAATCCTGCGCCTTTGGGAGGCTGAGGTGAGTGGATTTCCTGAGCCCGCGGGTTCGAGACCCGCCTGGGCAGCAAGACCCTCATCTGTACGATAAATCAAAAAATCAGCCGGGCATGGTAGCGCATGCCTGTAATTCCGGCTACTGGGAAGGCTGAGGCGGAAGAATCGCGGGAGCCCAGCAGGTCCAGGCTGCGGTGGCTGGGAGTGGCCACTGCACTCCAGTTTGGGCGACAGAGTGAGACTCCAACTCAAAAAAAAAAAAGAAAAAAGAAAAAGAAATACAACATCGGAGGCTTCCAACATCAAGACAAGAAACTTAGAGGTGAAGTCAGACATTGCTGTCCTGCATCAAATGTAAACATCAGAGATGAGGGTGCTAGCCTCTGTGACCCAGCTACTCTCAAACAAATTGTCAGCCTGTAAATGGGCCCAAACCAGCTTCCAATGCCAGTTACACTCCTCAAAGTTGGACCAAGAGGATAGAGATGGGAGAAGGGGCTTAACTGAGCGAGCCTTTAACAAGACCTGTGTGACTACAGCGCCCTCCAGGAGGGAACAGGGCAGCCTTGCAAGGGCCAGCTTACCTCCTTGAGAAGCCCCACTTTTTTCTTCAGCACCTCACACTTGCGCAGTTTGCAGATCTGGTGCGTGCGGCGGTTGGTACAGCTAGTGCAAGCCCCGCAGTTTTCCAGCCGCCGGCAGGGCTCACAAATACCACACCGTTTCCGCTTCTTTCGCCCATCTCCACCCCCTCGGAGCTGGGGCTCACTCCCGGCCATGGGGATCCCAGGCCCTGGGAAGCCCCCTACCATCACCTGGCCCTGAGGAAAGTCATAAAGGCCTGGCAGGTCCGGCTGGACCACCAGGGGCACCTGAAACTGGCTCATGATGCTGCCAGAGGTAGGGGCATAGGAGCCAGGGTAGAACCACAGTCCAGTTTCCTGCCGCCTGCAAAGGCCACCAACAGGTCCTTCCTTCCTAAAACAGTCAAGTGTCTACAAAGGTGAAGGCAAGTAGCTTCAGTCTCCCAGATGGGTGCCTCTTCTCGACCCCTCTTCACCTCCTCTGCAGCAGTCTGATCGGGCTCCGTTGGAGGCCACTCTCCCACCTGTTGGGGCCCGGGAATTGGGGGAGGACACCAGCAGCGGCCCCCAGGTAAGGGATCATCTTGGCTGGGTGGCTTCTTCACTCTCACCCACCCTGGACCCAGGCATGAGAAGAGCAGGTAGGTGTGTGCTGGGGGCAGGGCAGGACGAGGAGTTTCTCCTCCTGGTATTTCTCCTCCAGGGACAGGATAGGGAAGAAGGCAGCGCTGCCTGAAAAAGACAGAAAAGGGAAGCGCATCACTTAGGGTTCAGAGACAACTTTCACGTGCTACCTCTTCCTGCTTCTGGGAGAAAAGAAAATGGGGGAAGAGAAGGGACTTGCTCCTGTGAAGTGCTGCCCAGAACCCCAAGCAGGACGCACTCAACATCCACTCCCTGTTTGAAGGAGGTGGCTGGGGCCTGGCAGGGTGCTGAAGGGTGCCTGGACGACGAATTCAAGGGGGTGGCCGAAGGGAGAATTCTAAGAAAGTTGCCCTCTGCCCCACTCCCACGGGCTTGCGAGAGTTTCACCAAAATTTCCCCACACGCCCCTCACTGCAGGCCGCAGGGGCCTCCCCGGAGGAGCGAAGCT